CTTGCGGTGGGCCCGAGCGCGATGCCACTCAGCGCGTGTCCGAGTGACGTCATGCTGTGAACCATGAGTGCATGCGTAATGATGATAGCGAAGTGCCCGCGCCGCCTGAGAGATCGCTTTGTTGACTTCAGGCGGGCGGCCGCATTTCGCTATCGTAAAAGCAGAAGCACTGCCTGCCATCTGGCTAAGTAACGCACTCGCTGCCCTCGCACGACAATCAATAAGACGCGCATGCTGATGCATGATCCGAGTGAGTGAATCTAAGAGTGCTTGTGCCCTCTGGCCTGCACATGACGAGTCACCTGAACTACACGCATGGCGCAGTGCCTCACGCAACTGTACATGTCTCGCATCCCCAGACAAAGACTGCCGAATGATATCTATCGCCTGTGCACTCCATACATAGCGCACCCTGCCCTGCCTGTTCTCCGCAGCCTGAATGCGGTTGTGGAGACTGGCAATGGACGGGGGTAAGGTCGCAGGAAGGATAGCTAAAGACAAGTATAAGTGAGGCGTGCGAAGTGGGTGTGAGTGAATGGAAAAAGATGTGGCACGCAGGAACAACTCGGGGGATGCCGCCATGTAATCAATGACACTATGCCGAGCTCCCTGCGTACACGTCGGACATGCAGTAGAGGAGGCAGGGGAAGAGCCGATCTGTCGGCCATTAAAAAGAAGCAGCCGAGCTGTCTTACACACAGTCAGTAGCCACACACCTTTAGCATCAACACTATGGGAGCATTGAGTCACACGCGGTGGCGGGTCACGGAGAAGAGAGTGTAGTGTATCCGGATCGATGCCCAAATCATCATAATCTGCCTCAGGCAGCGTGTCTGCAGCAGTGGCTGTCCTCGCATTGAAATCACCCGACAGAAAGACATACCCTTCGTCAGCCAATCCTTCACAGAATAAAGCAAAGGCATCCCACCATTCGCCGCCTTCCTCACTCGGGTGCAAGTATGGAGGTACATAACAAGCAAGCAAAAAGACAGGCCGATCAAGGCCGAACAGCTGCGGGTCTGCACGCAGAGCGACCACATTACCAAGTGGCGCCTGCTTTCGAGTAAGCAAGTGAGTGACACGAGTACTCGTATATACAGCAACCCCGCCTGTTCTGCCCATCGTCTTGCGTTCAGGATTATACATGCGTACACGAGGAGTCGCCCAACATGTATATCCAGGAAGTGACACAGGTGGGTCTGCGTCATCATGGTGCGTCTCGAGAAAGATCAAAAAGTCATACCGTACACGCCTATGAGCGTCCCACATACACATGTCATCCAGTAAGTCCCCATAGTCACGGAACTTGGCATGCAAGTTCTGGATATTGAGACAGAAGAACGTCAGATGGGGGGGCGGAGTGCCAGCCGAAGGGGCAAAAGCCACAGCTCCTCCGGGAGGCATGGGCTGCGCACGACGCGTAGGCCGACGGCCGCCCCTGCCTCCCTTCGGTTTGGCCGTAGCCTGCCCCCGTGCAGCCGGACGTGCCCTCTTCTGTGGACCCCTGCGTGTCTGTGTCTTTCCACCCCTCCCCCCTCCCCTGGCCTTGGCCTTCACGTTGAAAAATTTGATAACAATAAAGAAGAACGACCTATTAATAGACCATTCTGCAGTGTCTGCAATATTAATGCACCAATTTTTGAACTAATTAATTTTAATGCCATCAGAATACATTTATGTAAGCAATGTCAAAGAAAACAATACCGAACCTGTAAGAAATGTAATAGAAATATGAGTATTTACGACTTTAAAGTTTACAGACATCCAAAGTATCCCTTTTTTATTTTTTATGACTGTTGCGAGGATTGTTTTAAATAAATGAAAATATATACTATAATAGAACAATAATTGAAAATGACTGATTGTGCCATTTGTCTGTCAAAATTAACAAAGAAAAAATTTAAGTTTCCGTGTAATCACAAATTTTGCCAGAAATGTATTGATGCTGTAAAGAAATTTGACGAAAAAGATGAAAGCAAATATCTATATATTTTACATAACCCATCTTTAAAATATCCTATAAGACTATCACACAATAATTACGGTATACTTGAATGTCCAATTTGTAAATCACAAGCAATTACTTCTAATGATAGACAATTTATTAAAGTAATTATAGAATTTGCTGATAATTTTACATTACCTATTGTTACATTTGATGAACTGGATATTATTAAAAGAAAAATGAAAAGTATGTATCAATTTTTTGCTAATAAATTTGCTTTGGCTATTGAAAGCGAAAGAACTTTATATTACAAGATTTGGGAGGGAGAAGAAGACAATGGGGAAGAATTTTTAGCTATATCTCCTTTACTGACTGATGAATTGATATATAATGATGATTACTACAATATTGAAGCAATGAGTTTTATTGATTTCTTTAATGTCAAATTTGAGGAAAATAACAAAAAATCAAGAAATGATTTTACACATGACGATATTATAGTTTAATACATATAGCTAATGTCTAAGCACTGGCTTGTAGTTCAAAATTTTTCTGCAGATAAAATATATCACAAGGGAAGAGAAATAAACCTACTGCTCTATTAAACTGTATTCAACCTTTTCCGATACTCACTGCTTCATTTAAAGGAGACGGGGCAAATTGTGATAATGAAACGAGATATAATATTAAAATTGACCAACTGAATAATATAGATTTTGATTATTTAACTATTGATGAAGAAGAAAAGAAAAGTTTTAAATTCAGCACACAGGGTTATTATTATGCTAAAATTCACTGCTTGCAGAGTGATAATGATGATTTGCAAAACAGATATGTAATAGGTTTAACAAAAGAAAATATTGAAGACTTTGAATATCATTATCCATTTCTTGAATATTGCTCTCTGCCGTTCTATATTACTGATATAGATAATGAATATCAACTTACATATTTAGCTAATAATACATTGAAAAAAGATTATAGGTTTAATGAAAAGTTCAAATGCTTTCTATTCAGATATCAGTAGGAGGGGGTTGTGTTATTTTAGGTGGAGGTTCAGGAGTTGTAGAACGTAGATATTTTTTTTCTGGGTCTTTCCATATCCAACCCAAAAATAGGGCTCTAATAATAGCAGATGGTGGCATTTATATATAATGGAATGTAATAAATGTAAAACTAAAAAGGATAAATCTGAATATTATGTATGTAATGGAAGAATAAGATTAATCTGTAAAGAATGTAGAAAGATAATTGATAAAGAAAAGCATGAAAGAACAAAAGAAAGAAATATTAAATGTTTCCCTGAATATCCAAAAATAAAAAAATGTATCTACTGCAAAATAATTAAACCGAGAACAGAAATGGTTAAAAATATATCAAAAGATGATGGCATGAATTCTTACTGCATTGAATGCTCCCGTCAAAGAAGACGTAAGAAATTAAGAATAGAAAAGGAAACAAAACCAAAAGTTAAATTTATTAATTATTTTAGTATAAAATGTAGAAAATGTGAATTAGTGAAATCGGTAATTGAATATGGAACAAATAAATTCAGTAAAGCAGGATATGATGGAGTATGTATAAAATGTATTAGAAATAATATAGATGACAGAAATAGAACTTACAAAAGAATTAGTGGCAGGATTTACTAACTACTGGCAGGATGAAAAGACCAGAGATATTGTAATGATGATTTTATTAGGTTTAATAGTATTATTTACCTGTATTAATTTAATATTAAATATTAGAGTTCATAGACGTATTACATCGCTTTGAATAGAGGTGTTAATATAAGAGTTAAAACAAACAATAAAACTAATATAAATGCTCCTATTATTCCTAATATATCACTTGAATTCATATATAATAAATCGCATTTTTTGTTCGCCACCCCTCTCCCCTTTTCCACCCCCCCTGCTCATCCTGTCCATTCTCATTTAAAAAATAAAACCCACATATATATAGGTGGGTTTCATACCCTATCACATGGAAACGTACCCTTGACCCCAGGGGACTGAAAGAACCCTTGGGTCAAGGTACGTTTCCATGTATATACAACACATGAGCTTCTTTTCTGAGTTGTTCGACCTTCAAGCTTTCGACGGCGAATCATTCATTGAGTGATTTGAGAAGAATGAGTGAATCATTCATCATTCTTGAATGAGGTGGAGCGAGAGATGAGTGCCCTGCAGGCTATGGCAGAGGAGGATAGTGGTGAGCAGGTGAACGTAGAGATCGATTGAGGTGTGTTGGTGTGGGATGACTATCTCTGTATGATAAATCTGTGTTTTTGGACATTCCATCACTCAATCTGTCGATTGCTCGTCGCATTCCATCACTCATTCGCCAGTGAATCACTCCTGGTTGTCTGTCTCGCCCAAGCAACGCTCAAGCACTTGCTTTGCTCGCGCTCCTCATCCTCGCCGCGCCGGCCGGGTTGCTTTTTTTTCTTTTTTCCGGGCCAAGCTCGACGCCAGGCGAGTCAGGTGGCCTGCTGGGATGCCCTGGTGACTCAGACGGGCAAGCAGAAGGCGTGTGAATTTGGTCGCTTAAATGGGAAAACGCTTATATGGGAAAAACGCTATATGGGACATGAAATTTCCCTCCTCCGTCGGGCTGGCGGGACTCGCTCGCATTCCCGAAACGAAATGCAAAGTCCCCATGCATGCAAAGCCCCAAAGCTCGCATGCAAGCCCCCGCAAGGGAACCGAAGGGAATTGCTAGCTTGGCCCCAATTACGGACAAACAAACAAAGGAACACTTTGTTGCGTAAGAGCGTGCCACGCTCGTGAAACTCGCGAGTCCCGAACCCTGAGCCCTGTCCCATTTATCCTACCCTGACAGTAAACAAAGGAGCATGTAGTGATAAGGCATAGCTCTCTTTTTCACTACTTGAACTTAGTCACAGACTAGTATTGTGTCGGCCGCCTTCGGCGGCCGTGGATCCCGAGGAGCTCAACCTGGAGCGGGCAAAGTAATAGGTTGACAACGCCACCTCGGCGCACGTCTGTATAGGTTAGGGTCTAGGGTTTAGAGTTTGAATTGCACTGGGCTCCTGAGACACTGTGCCGCACGATTCGAGAAGCACACCGCTCGAACCACCGGCCGGCGCTTGACATCGCCATGAAGCGAAAAAGGAAACCCTAAATGTGCACCTTTGGGGTTTCCTGCGTCGTTACCTGTAGTGGGATGTATGACGTACTTTTATAAACATACTGTCATATGCACTATATCTGTATACTTGTTTCGTCATAGGCCACATACCAAGGGCCTTCTGGGAGACCCCGTACATTGTCATAAGACACTCGGGAGGCAGACTCTGGGATCTAGGACGTAGGCCTGGTCATATGTACGTGGGTGTGCCTGCGTTTGTGAATGCCTGTGGCTGTATTTGTGTGTATCCTGCAGATGCTAATTCTTTGGAGGAGACAGATGACAACGGTGTCATAGTCTCTCTGCGAGCACCCTCACAGGCTATAAAGATCAACCGGTATGTCAGTGTGTATGGTATCACATCACATGTACACCGATCTGAGCCATCTGCGTTTTCGATGTGCAGCGACACTGGGAAAATTGAGTGGCGTCTTGGCGGCGAAAGTGCGGACTTTAAGATTATCAACGATCCCCACGGCAGATTCATAGGCCAACACGACATAAGGGCTCCCGGTGGCAATCGGATCACTGTGTTTGACAATGCTCAAAAAGGTGGCGGTCTATGGATAACCGCTCAGTTTGCTGTGATGAGGCGGCCAAGTCGACTACATACTGTACTGTAGAGCCCCTCAACAGCGTCATTCAATCAACGACTCAAATCATTCATTCATTCATGCATTCGTTGACCACTCATCCATTCACTCATTCGCTGACCAATCTCGAGTCTGGTTCAATGAGGAGAAGTCTGTTTTCGGTGAGAACGTGTCAGGAGATGAAGGGATGGGTCAAACAAGCCAAGAGATGGAGCAAGTGGATCAAGACTGATGAGGGAGATGTGCCTTGTCGTCTGTAGTAGGTGAGTCGTGTGTTTGTCTGATTCATTCATCGCATGTGATTGAGTGAATGACTGAACAGAACACGTCATGATGGAAATCACGCAATATAATCAATCATTTACGATCATCACAGTCATATCATTGGTACGGCGACAGCGATGGCATGATTGATTGCCTCTGCGCCGAGCCCCCCCCCCCCTCCATGCACGGCGAAACCTTCCTTCATGAACCGAGCCAGCTCGTGCTCGCCTTGCGCATCGTCGTTCTCGTCTTCGGAAGGCGAGGGCCGCCGGCGGGAATGAGATTGGGCCTCCCTTGACGCTGAAGCGGCCGCATCGTTGTCGCGAAGTCGAGCTGGCCCTTGTTGCCATGACATGGGCGGCGGGTTGCCCTTGGCAGTGCGAGTCCCTGCGTCAGGACCGTCCATCAGCAGCTGGCGAGTGCGCAGACGCCCAACGACCTGCACACACCCATCCATCCATCCATGCATGTACAAGTGGGTACGTATATATATGTGTGTCTGTCTGTGTACGTGTGAGGTGTTGGATCTCTCCTCCTCCCTCTGTGTGTACCTGGTGTGATTGTGTGCGGTGAGTGCTTCAGTTGGGTGAAGCAGCGGCGCCCTCAGACAAGCAGAACCACGAGAAACTTCCTATCGAAGGTCCGCGACAGAGAAAAGAGTGAAGGTGAGAGTGATTGACTGTCATGCTTGACTTCCTCGTGTGATTCACCTTGTGCAGCATCGAGTTGGCGTCACGCCGGTGATCAGGCGAGCAGAGATCTGCTGACGGTGGGCTCAGAGGCGGGGGGGTGAGTGTTGCGGGACATCTTGTTCGCTCCGCAGCGGTTGATGCAGGTGCTGTAGGTGAGTCAATCGGGCGAGAGAGTGAGAGCGGTGGCCGAGGGCTGTCTGTGTGCCCGGCGGCGAGGTGGGCGGAGCTGTCTGTGGCGTGCTGTGACTCCCGGTAGAAGGTCACTTAGGGAAATATCTTGAAGGTGAGGTCGCAGAGAGGATCTGAGAGCACCATGTGACGCAGCGCGACGAGCTGCGCATGTTGGTATACCCAGAATGTGGCTGCGGCGCTTCCTCGTCGATTTGGTTCTGCCCTTGTAATCGAGGAGAAACTCCATGATGGGGTTTCTCATCCTTTTGAGGGTTTGTTCACATACGGCACTTCTGTTTGTCTCAATCTTCCCCCTCCCCCCCATCGTTTATCGTGTGCGTGGTAGGTCTGCAAAAAGCACCTGCCACTTGGGACGTGCGCGACACCAAAGTAAAAAAGGCATGCACAGGGCGTGGCAGGTAGGAAAAGGCGATTGGAAGGGATGCGGGAAGAGAAGCATGAAGGGAGACAGACTGGGATAGAGGAAGGGACGGCCAAGAAAGACACAAAATGAATGCTACACCACCGGTATCCCACCGCTACTGGTGCGACACAAGCAAGGGCGAGGAGCGGCGGACCGGCTCCAACAGACCTTTACCCATATTTAGCTGACCCGCCCAACATGCCCTGTACGCTGTATAGACACTCACTGCATTGCCATCCGTCGACGTATTAATTAACAATTAAACACCGAAGGACACACACAAGCATGGGCACGACAAAAGCTTTGTGCTCAGATGCTATGGATGCACGAATCAATGGCGCACACACATGAATGCGGGGAGACCCGCATACACATGTGGGAGCATACGAAATGCGGTAATGCGGCCAAACGAAACATCAAAACACCTGTCAGGCAGACACAGGAGCACTCAGACGAGTAGATCTGCGTGCCAGAATGGTGCGTGACGGCCATCTGCTCAGCTGGCAATACAGAGGGCGGCAATGCGGCTCAACGAAACATCAACACACCTGCCAGACAAACACAGGAGCGCTCAGACGAGTAGATCTGCGTGCCGGAGTCCTGCGTGACGGTCGACGTGCTCTTTTCTGCCTATGACCCTTGGCTCGTGGAAGCTGATCTTTTGCAGCCCCCTCCCCCATTCAAGGGAGAGGGGGCGACATTGCGTCGTCCGCATCACCACCTCCCTTTGCTGTCTGCCCCCTCTCTTCAGTCACACACAAGTGCAGCCGATTTTTGGTTTCTCGGCCAGCCTCGCCGTTCACCAGCAAGCACCTCTTCATTCGGCTTCCCCAGGTCTTCAGGAATGGCCGCCAAATCGCCTCACACTGCCCAGCCGCCTTCTGACGGATACCCTAAGGGTCAACCACTGGCCAATCGCGATCGCTAGATTAGTGTGGATCCCTTTCTTTGCCTAAGGATCATCCCCTATATGAATTTGATTTTTGGGATTTCCTCTACCTGGAATTCCGATGCGTGTAGGCAGCATATGCCAGAGCTGTTTTGGTTAAGCAAAACTAGACAGGATGCTCTCGCTTCTGATGCCATTCGCATGTCATTCGGCAGCCGAACAAAGGAGGGAAAAAAGGAAACGAATTGTGGCAATCCCTTCCAGTTTCATGCATTGCCTAAACATTCGCCTTTACTGTTTTTCGGACACGCCTGCCCGAAGGGCAGGCACTCCACTTGTCTCACTGGACTGCCTGCAAAGGGATCTCACTGGACGCGCCGGGAGGACCAGCTGAGGAGTGGCACTAGGATGCTAGCTGCCGTGAAACCGTGCAAAGGCTTAGGACACAGAGGCGTGCGATCGGTCGATCGGAGTATGATCGTGCGTGGCCAGTGTACATGAATCGGACTCGCAAAGACTCGGAGGGCGGGGCATTTCCAGGGCCCGTTACCGTAACCAACCAACCAACCTTTCGCCCCCGGGTTCCGCCTTTCGGAAGGTGTCCTTTTTCGATCGCCTTCCGTTACTAGGGGGCCCCTACCCCCTCGTACCCGTTCGTCGACCCGCGTTCGCGGGGGTTCCATCGACTTAGGGAAAATTTCACGCGGACTACGAAGGAGACATGGGTGTCTGTTTTGCATATGATGCCCATGCAATTGCGGTTCATATGCGCCCCACATCGGGAGGTCCCTGGGCCACGTGACCCCCATTTTTACATAGGGGGGCATGCCCATGCGAATTGCGTCTCCTATGAACGCATGAAAATGCATCCATGGAGACGATATAGCAGCCCTGCAAAAACGGGGCAGGGGCCAGGGCGGGTGTCCGGCGCACTGATGTCGGCCCGGGGGTTGCTTGGGGGTTAGAGGACGCCATGAAATAGCGCTTACTCGATGCTGATTGACCTGTCGATGAGAGACAATCAAAATTGAGTGACGACAAGCACACGAATCAAGTCGACCTGATGTCACGTACACCGCAGGCACCTAGTCAACGGAGGTAGGGTGTAGCCTCCGTTTTTACTAGTTCAAAGAGGCAAAAGCGGCTGTCATGACTTATTTTTCAAAGAAAAAGGATCAATGGTGCGTGCGGGTGAAGTTCCACTCAAGCCAGTGTTCTGTCCCTGGCCGAGAAAGATAACTGGCCGGCCAGGCTATTATTCCCACGGGAATGGATCATTCCCATGGGAAGAATCAGGTCGTCATTTCCGCCCATTCCGCTTCATCTGGTCGGAACAAAATCATCGCTCTCGATTTCCTTCTTGTCTTCAACAAACAAGCATCCAAGCCTCCTGCCCTGCCCCCGAGGTACTTCAACGCTTGCCGTCAAGACCGCAAGGCCGCTCCCTCCGGAGACATCACCCCTCTCTACTTCACCTCTGACAACATCAATGAGGAAAATTCTTGGACTCGTCGAGCAGTCCTTGCCACTGCCCAGCCCAGAACCGCTTGAACCGGACGCCGCCCTCCGCGATTCATCGGGAAGAGGAGCATGGACATCCGAGTCCCCCTCGCTGAAGACACGTACTTCACACCACCAGTGGTGTCGACCACCATCTCGAGTGAATCACGAACACATCCGGGCATACGGGATATAGTGCGGACGCCCAGCTTGAAGTGGTCATCCCGCTGCCCGGCGCTGAGGCCGAGAGAGTGCTTGAGTGGCGGGACTGGTACCGGAGAACGAAGATCTCCTGCTCGGACGGTACATCTCGTTGAAGAGAAGAAGGATGAAGCCGAACGGCGCCCTGGAAGTCCCGAAAATTCCGAAAATGACGTCAGCACAGCACGAGCGTCATCGCATGAGCAAACGTATCAGACGAAAACTTCCATCCAAGACCAATGGGCGGGTATAGAAAGTGTGAGTGTACACGTATTACTACACCGTACCCTCACCGTTGCAAGCGTCGCGTACTCGAACCCTATCTGTACTCTATTCCTCCTCGGGTTTTGGACCAGGAGCATGTACTACTTGAAACCTCCTGGTCCATGTACCAGCTCCACTGCAGAAGCGAAAACAGCTCAGCACATGATGTAGTCGGGAAAGTCCGGCGGACCATCAGTCGCATTTTTGAAATTGAAGAGCCCTGGGTTACGCTCTTCTGGATGGAGACAGATGAGTGATCAGATCACTATTGATGAGCTGGATAAGGTTCTTCGCCAAGAGAATGACGTGCCACTGGCATCATGCAATCCCATGCGTATGCAATGTGGAGGTGCTGCGACGGGATCGCTCCTCCTCCTACTGTTGAGGTCCGAATCGCTAATTTTGTCGTGAAATTTCCAACGACCTGTAACGTCTGCACGCCCTGCGACGATGGACTGGCGGGCTGTTGTGCTGGTTTCCGTGGCCATATCATCATGCCAGCAGACAACATCCGTCCCTATTGCGTCAAAGGACATTACCCCGCCACCGCCGCGCAGTACAGATGGTCTCGAGGATGGCGCACCGCCAGCCTATGTGTTCACCGTGTTTGTGTCGGAGGATGAACGCGACGATAATGAGGGGCTCAACAAACTCATGTACAAAATAACGGACAAGACGACGGGCGCAAAGATCATCGAGAGTTCGGCGCTGGGCCTAACGGTCAACGGCACGGACTTAGGGCGAGGAGTGGAGATGCACGAGCTTCCCGCGGAGAAGATAGACGAGACTTACGTAAAGATCGGCAAGCACCGTGTGGTGACGAGTCACGCCATGGACTACACGTTCCACGTGCTGCATCTGGAGAGCAACATCACGTGGTACCTCAATGTGCGGCTATTCAACGACGGGGTGGCGTTCAGATACTCGTGGCAAGGGAGTCAAGAAGACCAGATCAGCAAGGAGGACACGGAATTCGTGATGCCCGGTGCGTGGGTGTGACTACATCTGTCATCTATCTGGGCACGGCATGGTGGACATGGCTCGGTGTATCTGCAGATGGCACCTACGTGTGGTATTTTGAGAGGACAGATGGCCGTCAGCGTTACGAGCTGCAGTCATATGCTGGTAAGTACAAAAGACAATGCACCCAGGCCTCCATGTGTACCCATTGCGCACATAGGTGAGTGGTTGCATTCCCCCGTGGACCATCTTGCCACACGCGAGAAGCAAATTGGCCACCTATACGGAGCCCCTCTTCTTTTCGATTTAACTGGCCCTGAGAGCGACGGCTGGAGCAGCAAGGGCATCCAGTACGCCTTGGTCACCGAGGCGGCACTCTATGACTTTTCCGGCATGCGTATCGAGGCCCTTCCCGGCCGCATCTTCCGTCCCAACTTCGCCGAGGCGACCTTTCCCGCGCCGCCCCAGAGCAAGGATGACGGCCTGATTCACTGTCCCTGGCGCGTCGTCATGCTGGCGTCAAACCTCCACCGCCTGGTCAGCAACGAGATGATCTCGCATCTCAACCCCGGCCCCTCGGTTGACCTCTTCCGCACAGGAGCACGGGACGATCAAGAACAAGGGCGTGCGCCATCGTGGGTGGTGCCCGGCCGATCTGTGTGGCAATGGTACAACGCGAAGTGGACGGGCCATCGGTTCGAAGATATCATGCCTGAGGGTGAAAAACGGTATATCGACGCTGCAGCCGAGTTGGGCTTCGAGTACACCACCGTTGACTGCTGTTGGCTGCAATGGGGTGCACCCCGCGACGATGATGGGTGTTACACGGCACCAACACGGCACCAACCCCCTTGACACACCATCCATCCTCTGTGTCCGTGCAGTGATGATGATTTTCTGATCCGCCGGAAAGGTCCGGACGCCCTGTGGCCTGCACCCAGCTGGCCCGACGAGATGCCTGTATTCAACTGGCCCAACGCCACCACCAGGCAGGCTTCATACACCCTGCTTGCCGACGTCTGCAAATACGCCAGCGACAAAGGAGTCAAAGTCATTGCATGGAAAGTCAGTGCACTAATAGTGCCCCGACACGAGAACATGTTTGGCGTCCCTGGTTTTTCAGGACGCACATGACAAAGACAGGATAACTAAGCCGGGCCCCGACAGGAGCTTTGCCAATCTGCGCAACTTCCTGAGCCGCCTTAAGGCTGTGGGTGCCAGCGGTGTCAAAGTGGACTATGTGCATGGCGAGACTGAGGGTGAATGCGTCGCACAGGGCTGGGAGGGACACATCGCGGTCGTGTATCATGACGTGACGGATTCTGTCTCTCTTTGTGTGGCTAGATAAGGTTCAATTCGAGACGGCATTGATGGAAATGACTGCCGAGCTGAAGCTGGTGGTTAATATCCACGGTTGCCGGAAGCCCAGCGGAGAGTCCAGGAGATATCCAAACCACGTAAACCCACATACACACAGACACAGAATCGCTCACACACACGCCCGTCTGTGTGTATGGCATGGCAGCTGACGCGTGAGGCTGTGTGGGGTATGGAAATTATGCGTTTCCTCCATGGTAGGTACTTTAAGAGCCCTTCCAAGCTGGCACTCAAGCCCATCACAGCACGACACAATGCCATACTCCCCTTCACACGATTCGTCATCGGCGGCGCCGACTACACACCGATGGCGCTCAGACCGGAAATGAGGGGCAGCACGACCATAGTCAGCCTCACACTCAGCCAGACAGCAACCTTTAATCATGTGAATGGGGGGATGGGTGTGTGCAGGTGCATCAGATAGCGTTGCTGGTTCTGTTCGACTCGCCGCTGCAGACCATAGCCGAGGATCCCCATTACCTACTGGACAAGGACAAGCCCCACGCGGCCGCTCTGGACGTCATCAAGGCCATCCCCGCCACATGGCACACCACGCACCTCCTCCCACCCAGCAGCATCGGCGAGCTCGTCGTCATGGCACGCAAGACTAACGACGAGGCGACCGACACGTGGTTCCTCGCAGCAATCAACGGGCGAGACGAACAAGTGACAATCGATGCGATATCTGTGGACTTCCTGGACAAGATCAAGACATACGAGATGGTTACTTTATCGAGTGTTGATGGTGACGGTGAGGGGATGGTGCAGCGAAGAGAGGCCAGGAAAAAGGGCGAGGAGTGGCAGCGGCTGGAAGGTGTGAGGCTGCTTCCTGGCGATGGGCTGGTGGTCATGTGGACGGCCGAGGAAAGAAAGAAAGAAGACAAACGGAAAGAACTGTGACCGTGTCGTTTGGTCATGACGTGATCTCCCTGCAAACTCGTTTATCTGTGTGGGTGAGGAATGTGCATGATAAACAAGCAGTCTGTTGCGCCGCTGGTCGTTTCTGGCCGGCTCAGGCAAAGAAATGAGTGGACCTTTAACGATGGATATGCGACAAGAAGATGACAACAATGTTAGCACCCACTGGCTGGCGGGGTGTCTCGGTGTTGTGTGTATGTGCCTGGTGGGCATGGATGTAGGCCACTAAGAAGAAGCCTGCCAGCGGGCGTGTCGTGCCGAGACATGACAGGCTGACAGACAGATGTCATACGAGAGGCGATACACGTGTTGGTTTGGTTCTGTGTGTTGTGTGTGGGGTGAGATCCGCAAGTTTGGTTCAGCACTGGGTGAGATCCGCAAGTAGCAGAAGGACACAGGTTTGCCGCTCCGCAAGCATGTGGTGGGCCACTGGCCCGCGAACAGAGGCGGCGGCGCTGACACTCCACGTCAACGAGCGCATGAAGGAGGCCCAGGTCGCCTACAGCAGTGAGGCCTTTCTCGTGAAGGTGGCCGCCGCCCTGGGGCTGATGTCGATGGCGAGAAAGGCGTTGTCGCGGCCAACCCCGACAAGGTCGATCGGCTGGTGCGTGCGACACGCGCTTTGGTGCGGCGGAGTGGCCTGCAGAGGCTCCTAGGCAATTGCTCCTAGGGCACTGGACGTGGTTCATGATGGCGAGGCGGCCGGCCCTGTCATCTTGGCGAGATCGTATGAGTTCTGTCGACGACTCTCGATCGGGGTTTGGCGAGGCTGTGGCCACGGGTCTGCGGCCCTCTCCTCCTCATCAACATTCGAGCACCGGTGGCGCCCGGCTTTCGACGCATCCGAGGATGGGTTTGGGGTGACGTACGCTACGGCCTCCCCCGACACTGGGCGTGCGGCTGCAGAGAGGGCCCTTCTCTCCCCCATCCCATCCCCACTCAGCCCCCCCGACCCTCCTCAATCGAATCGAATCGTGCTAGCGAATCCAAGCCTGAGTATGAGCTGTCCTTCGATTCTGACGGTCGTCCATCTGAGGCCCGGCTGGTGCACGAATATGACACAGGCATCCGCGCATTCACGATGCGCAGTTATAGAAGGATGCTTGGGGTTTGGGGGGCGGAGAACGAACGGAACACCCGTTGGAAATCCCTTCTACGTCGAAGCGACAAGCGAGGGGGAAGAATTGATCACGATGGAGTGGAGAACGGACAGTGCAGCCTTCCGCAGTTTTCCTGGGACGTATCGTACCGTCAAGGCTCCGTGGATCGGCACGCCCGATTGGCATCCCGTCGCCCTCCTCGACGATGACAACAAAGCCAATGCTCTTCGGCTTCACTGATTGTCTTACACAAGGGTCGCTATGTCGCCCACGACAGCGGCTAGCCTCCTGTCTACAACGCTTTTCGAGCGCTGCGGCTCTTCGTGGCGCTGCGATGTCAGGCCGCGATCTCAGGACAGTGTTTCGCTCGACAGTGCGGGTCTCCGTCGACCCACGGCCTCGAGTATTATCGCCGTCATTGTCGTATACTTTCGTCGATACGAACATATACAATCTCGGTCGCTACGCATAATCGCACGGTGTCGCTTCAACGAAGTCTCATTCGTCGAATCACGACGGCGGTCGTGTCGTATGCGAGGCAGCGTGCCTTCGACGATTCGCAGCGGCATACGCCGTCGATTCGATTTCGTGTGTCTCGGCCGCTCCGCATTCCGTGGACGTTTGGCGCGAACGAACCGTCATCCGCCGAAGTACGACAGCGGTCTTTTATCGCATTCGGGGCACCTGCTCTCGTCAATTCAAGGCTGCGTACGCTGTCGATTCGGTCATACGTGTCTCACTCGTTCTGCGTCTGTTGGCGCTGGGAGACAAACACTCGTCCGTCCAAGTATGTCAACGCTGACTCAGCGATCGTGTCGTACTCAGCACGTTGTGTCTTCGCCAATTCGCGGCTACTTCGTGTAGTGACTATATTATACGAGTCTCGGTCGTTCCACGTCTGGGCGCGTCGAGGGGAATGAACTCTCATCCGTCGAATTACGACAGCGGTCTTTATCACATTCAGGGCAGCTTGCTCTCGCCGGTTCGCAGCGCGGCGCTGTCGCTTCGGGTTTCAGTCTTTCTACGTCTGTGGGCGCTGGGAGAGAACAAACACTCGTCAGTCGAATTACGTCACCGCTCATCCAGTGATCGTGTCGTACTCAGGGCAGCATGCGTTGCGCACGCCGTCGAGTCGATTTTGTGTGTCTCGCGTCGATTATATATTTTGTGTGTCTCGGCCGCTCCGCGTTCCGTGGGCGATAGGGGAGAACGAACTGTCTCCGTCAGATTGCGACAGCGCCGACTTAGTGGTCTTTTGCCGCATTCAGGGCAGCATGCCTTCGCCGATTCGCGGCTGCTTAGGCTACTGACCTTCACGTCTCGGTCTAGGCGCACGAGGGGGACGATGTCTCCGTTTCGTCCATCTAAAGTTGTGCGTCTGTTACCAATGCGGGGCTGCGACGCCGGCTCGTGAGTGAAGGCATGGGCCGTGTGCCGCTGCGTGTCTTCCGTCGATCGCATTGTTAGTTGCGGTGGGCACAAAACCGTCGTTCCTCCAATGGTTTGTTCTCGACGCCATGCGAGGCTCGGTCTTTATCGGTGCGAGGTACCGAGGATTATCGAGTAGAGACACGTTAGTCGACAACAAAGACGTAACGGCGCAAGGCGACACTTGTCGATTGCGGTCTACGTGCTTCGTATGCGAATGATGGCCTTCGTCATTCACTGTACTGCGAGCTGCGAGCGCATGTCCTATGCTGTGTGCGTTGTCGACCGAAAGCGGATGCCTATTATCTCGTCGGCGTCGTGGCTGTCTCCGACAAGTCTCGTATTATCGCATCACCCGTATCAACGCGACCTCCGTCAGGATCCGCTATTTCGCGAAACTCCGTCTTTGCCATCTATGCGAGGATCTCTTTCGTCGTCGTCGATGGGAAGCTCTGTCTTTTGTCGACACCTACCTCTCGTCTGTGGCACGAAGTCGGTTAGAGAACGAATTCATGGCGAGGCAAGGCGGCATGTCTCGTACGTTCCTGGCTACGCACTGGTCGACTGTAGAGTACGTGCCCGTGCGCGAATGTCTCGTCCTCTATCGATGCAGCCCCGTCCATATCCGGAGCTACGGAGCTATGGGCTCTGTCGTCGTCGAGTGGAAACGGGGGATTCTCATCAATTCACTGTATGTGCGTGTGCGCCACGTCATCGGCTCAAGGTCGTAGCTGTCCGGCTCAAGGCCGTTGCGATAAAGAGGGAACGCAGCAATATAGAGACACGTAGCGAAACATACGCACGTTAGGCTTTGGCCTCCACACATATGCCAGACGCTCATGCGTGAGTCAGTCGAACGGAAGCTGAAGGGGGGAAGGGGGAAGATATAGCGCTGACTCAGCCTACTTCCGTCTACTTCTGCTCACCCAAGCTCGCTTGCATACTTTTCGATTCACGAATCGCGAGTCATTCATTCACTTAAGTCTGGCCATTTTCGGGTCTGTTTCAATGAGAAGGGGGCTGTATCTCGCGAGAACGTGTTAAAACGAGTCCTGTGGCCGACGAATTAGGCTACTTTGAATGGTCCTCAAACACGCGGAGGACCTTTCGGACACTCTTGCTCACAGGCCGGATGTCAATGCTCAGAATGCCACTCGTGTTGTTCCATTTCCATGAGCCGAAAGAAGAGCTGTCGTCGTTGCTCTTGGCTGGCCGCCAATCAAGAGCATGATGAGTAGAATCCCCATCACTTTGGAGCAGCAAATCCGCACCACTGACACGGACAGTCCGATGAAGAATCACTTCAATGTGAATAGTCTGAGTGGTATCCTTGTGCGCGCTCGTGGAAACATTTCCGTTTGTGAGGGCATCAATCTCTGGTCCAATTTTGATTTGGCCAAAGCCGCCGTCGGTCAAGCCGCTGAAATCGGAAGACACCTCGGTCCTTCGCCTGATCGAAGGAACAAGAGCAACAGCTGACGATGGATGCTTGGCTCTGTGCCTGAATGCTTACAGGCGGTAGACAGGGCGATTCTGCAGATCATAGTGATCCACGGTGGCCCCATCGTCGTCAATTACTTCAAAAGACGAGCCAGTATTCAGGGAAGCAAATACCCTCACCGAGAGACTTGCCTCCACCTCTCCGTGCAAAAGGCGGCCATCGGCGTCTTTGGTACCGTCAGTCACGGGCATGAAAGGTATGATCGCACCGCTTTTCGCGTACGCAGGTAGAGTATACACGCCTTCCGAGTGACGAAACAGTGAAACGTTCCGCAGCCACTGGCCGCCGGCAAAATGTGCGTATGGATGATGGTACGAGTGCCAGTCGCCTTCAGGCAGGTAGACATCAGTGTGGGTCTGGCCGTGTTGGGCTGCAAAAGCGACCATAATTTGATCACCAAGCATCTTTTGGCTTCCCATGGTGCGCACAGTGGCGTCAGAAGGGAAGTAATACCTGCTCGTAACAAGCAAATGCACGAGAAATGGCAGGATGCCTTTTGCTTGGCGAGCCCCGACTGTCTCACCACAAGGGCGCAATGACTGGCAGTCCGTACTGGAATGCGCGATAGGCCAGCGCATAGTAATACGGAATCAACTCATATCTCTGACGAACGTTGAACCTGGATCCACATGGACACGGATGACACTACAGTCTCTTGGCCCCCCCCCCCCCCCCCCCCCCCC